TAATAAAAGTGTAAAAAAAAATAACTTAATTTACTGCTGTCAACACATTATATTTAAGTTTGTTTTTATTCATTGCCACTTTACACTAACATATTTTTATAGCTCATTTCATATGACACTTATTATGTCCAACATCATGTGCCTAATCACTTCATATAATAGTTTCTCTTAAAAAAGTTATGCAAAAGCTCAACTAACTTTACCTACATAACCACACACAAAAAAATGTAAGATAGTGATTTTGCTTTTATTTGAATCTCAAAAGAACAGGGCTTTATATAGGGCTAAATAAAATTGAAGAAAGTCACAGGTTACATCTTCTTAATTAAATTATCTCAAAAAGCTGATTTCATCAGTTGTTTACAATAAAACTCAAAAACCAACAACCTACATATTATTATAACTCACTCAAGTTAACTGATTCATAAAAATTCTAGAATGTTACTAAACTATTGAGATCTCTTTATGATAGAATTATAAACCAAACAATCAGATATTTACTTTCTAGAAGAAACTTTATCGTAATTTTGAAATGCAAATTATAACAAGTGCAAATTATGTTTACAAAACACTTATGCCTCTGTCTTATGCCTTCAAAATTTATCAGATCTAGAACTTTCTACATGGTACCTTTTGTATAAGTTTAGTCAAACTCCATCCTGTCCATATGACTGGGGCAGAGAGGTTTTGTTTTTTGCACAAAGTTTAATGAGGACTACCTGCACTACCCAACCCTAATTTAACACTGATAGACTACAAGGAAGGCAGATAGTCGACACCACCCACCACCAACTCTCGGGCTACTCTTTCATCAATGAATAGTAGGATTTACTGTCACATTATAATGCCGCCATAGCTGAAAAGATGAGCATGCTCGGTGACACTTTTCAAACCCACAACCCCCAAATTGCGAGTCGAGTGCCCTAACAACCAGGCCATGCCAGAGAGAAGCAAACCATTATGACCCACTCTGCTTTAAAATGGGGGAATAAAAATTACTGCACCATTTTTAACAACCATTTCTTTCAGCTAATTTACTGAAAGTGTAAAGTTATGTCTTTACAGCCTTGTGAGACAAAAACTTGGTTAAACAGTTAAGTTACTGAACACTGGCATCTTTTATTTTTTAGTACCCACTTATAGAATGGAAGTTAAAATTCATAAACATTATAAAGAGAGTAAGAAAAATCTTACTTTATAAATTCCAGCTTATAAAAGTAAGAACGTGCATCATGGTATTTTGGATAACTTTTAACAAGTATCAATTTGCACCATTTTCTTTTTCTTTTTTTAAATGAAGCTATAGAAATAATTATAAGTATAGAAAAATAGGTGTTCACCAAAGTTGTCATAATCAAAGTAAAAGATTCATATTTATTTCTAAAAGTAAGAACGTGCATCATGGTATTTTGGATAACTTTTAACAAGTATCAATTTGCACCATTTTCTTTTTCTTTTTTTAAATGAAGCTATAGAAATAATTATAAGTATAGAAAAATAGGTGTTCACCAAAGTTGTCATAATCAAAGTAAAAGACTTGGATTTGTGAGTAAACAATAAATTGACATCTCTTTTCCATTATTGTGTTGCATTTTATTCTTTAAATA